ATCGCTCCACTATTTTCTTGATATGATTTTCCTTTTATAATCAAATCACTGTTGCTTATTTCGGGCAGGTTGATTAAGGTTATAACCCAAATAAGCCTCTGAAATTAGAGTGGAAAATAAAAAATCAATGCAGATGGTAAGTTTGACCCAAGCCTTCCCAGGAAACGCAAGCGGTTTTTCGTCTTGTATGACCACATGTGAGTATTTTATTTTAGACAACTTGGTCACAGTCGTTTGCAAGTTTTATAATATTAATCATTTGCAGAAAAAACTAAGTTTCAAAAGTAAAAAAAGCATAACTAAAAAATTAGGAAATAAAAAGAAATTTGAAAAGAAAAAAATAAAAAGAAATTAATATATTATATAGTTTGTGTACTGTTTTTATTTTTGTTTCTTTAGAGTGGTTGTTATTTTCAGCAACAAAATTAGATAAGGCAAAGCATAAAAAAACAGTTTTAAGTCTACATAAAAAATAATTATTTTTATTTTTTTTTTTAAGAGGAAAGCAAAAATATAATGTTTTTGTAAAATATATTTGTATAATTTTAATGTAACAAGTATATATTGTCCCTATATAAAAACGTCTGCATGTGTATACTTTTATGTATAACTTGTTTTAATATATAACTATATTTATTTATTCCTATTTATATGCGCGCTTAGCTTATTTGGATAAAGCGTTGACTTTGTAAATGGAATGTCTATGGATTGAGACCCGCTTCTTTCTAAGTTTTTTTATTTTTGTTTTTTTACACATGCAGATAGCCAAATTTTGAAAAGAAAGATGTCTCCACTAAAAAATTAGGTATAAAAACTTAAAGGAAAAGAAAGGAAAAAAAAATGTAGATGACATGGCCTTATTGAAGCTTAAAATCTATATATATGTAAGTGCGCCCTTTACTTAAAAAATGCACTGAAAGACTTAAATGGTATAAAAAATCTTAATGTGATGAAATGTATATCATTCAGAAACATACAACAAAAAGATTATTTATATAAAAATAAGAAAAGATAAATGATTACAAAGCAAACATATGACCAGCAGTATTTAAAAGAAAAACAAAAACAAAAAATTCACATTTGTAGGAATGAAACCACGGATATTCCGTGTATGACGATTACGCCTTATCCAAATAAGCTAAATGGCATATACTTAGGAAGAAAAAATTATACATATATAATACAATAAGTTATACATATGCATGCTTTAAAAGTATATATAGACATCAGCTTTAAAAGTATATATAGACATATACTTACATCAAAGTATACGCAGACGTTTTCTTATAGGGACAATATATACTTGTTACATTAAAATTATACAAATGTATTTTAGGTTACAATTTATATTTTCACTTTCCTCTTTAAAAACAAAATAAATAAAGTATAGGAAAATCATTCTTTTTTAATGTTTAAAACTGTCTTGTTTTGTTTTTTGCTTTGACTTATCAAATTTTGTTGCTGAAAATAACAACCACTCTAAAGAAACTAAAATAAAAACAGTACACAGTTTATTTAAATTGTTATTATTATTTTTTTCTATTTAAGTTTATTTTAATTTCCTATTTTATTAGTTTAGCTTTCTTTGTTTTTGAAACTTTTTTCAGTAACACTTAATAAAATAAAACTTCCAAATGTCTGTGACTAAGTTGTCTGATATAATATACTCATGCGTGGACATATAAAACAAAAAGCCGCACTCATTTCCTGGAAAGGCTTGTGACCAGTTAACTAATAGACCTGACAGTCAGTTTTTTTCTTCAATGCACATAAGAGCGGCATGATTGCATTCCAAAAACTTTTCATTTTTGCAAAAATACTACAAATCAGCAATATAGAATTTCTAGATATTTCTGGATTTTCTATTTTAAAAACTTTATAAGGAATGTAGAAATGTTTATAAGGAATGTAGAAATGTTTATGATAAATAATAAAAAGATATGTGTGATTTAAAAAGTTAAAGAGGTTTGTGGGTAATATTTAAAAGTTATTGTGTTAGTTGCAGTTAAATAAAATCATATTAGTTGAATAAAATTCTTGTTAGAAAATTTTTTGGTTCATTCTTGGAGCCAGATACTTATGCAGTTTCCCCCCAAAAATAGTTTTTATCACAAAACCACTTATGTAGCAAAATACATTTTTGTAATTAATAAACTGTTCATTTTTCTATTTTTGTTTTGATTGTTTTGTTTACAAAACAAGTTAAAAGGTTTGTATGTAGTTGAAGTTAATTAGAATGTCTGTTTTGCTATATCAACTATTTTATAAGAAATTTAGATAAAATGTTCATTTTTTCATTTTTATTTTAATTATTTTATTTAGAATTTAAATAAAGTGTTTTTGCTGTTTTTAATTTGTTTGAAATAACAATAAAGATTTTAAAAATTGTGCTTAATAATGGCTGTGGTGTGCTTAATAATGCCCGTGGTAAATTATAAGCAGTGAAAACTATAAATGTTTGCAAATAAATATATATATAAATCTCATATAATATAATAAACCTTAGACACTGTCAGGTCCGCAGTTAGGTCAGCATTACCATGTGCTGACTCTAATTTTTAGGGCTGTTGGATTGTATGTATTTTTAACTGGTTTTTTTAAAAGATACAAGTAACAAAAAAAATTTTATGTTATGTCACTAATTGTTACATTCGGCAATGAGAAAGAAACATGAGATTTTAACCAAATTTTATAAATTTTCTGAATTTAGGGCATGTTTGCATGATTTTAAAAGATTTTTACAAAAATGCATATGGTATGATTTGGTGGCACATTTAAGACTGGGAAAGTATGTACCATGCAGTATAAAGACACATTTTATTTTTATTTTTGAAATGATGCTGTGATACATAGTGAATGTACATCATAGTATATAGTAATACTTTTTTATCAGCAACATCAATCCCCTAGTTCAAGAGATCAAGCTGATGACCTTTTAAAACTTAATGCATTTTCTCAGGTAAATATTATCAAGAAAGTAAGTTACAAAAACCAGTTTACGCTTTCTCAAATAAGTTTAAATTTTACTGAAATTTACCAGATATGAATCCAATTCAAAATATAAAGATAGCCAACATGCCCATAACAGCATAAACAAACTTGCAAAATCTGATTGATTTTGTCGTTAATTAAGGACCCTAAAATTAGTCAAAAAAAATGTGCCCATATATTAATAAGAGCGCCCTAAAATGTGTTGAAAAATTTGTTAAACTAAAATATGGATCAATAAAGTGTTTGATTTAAACTATATAAAGAATAATTGAATATTATGCTGCATAAAATGATTTTTTAAAGTTGTTGGTATTTTCACTGAATTATTTGAGTTTAATAAAAATAAATTTGGTTCACATATATTTCCATTTTTTTTTTGTCTGATCACAGAAACAACAAAATACACTTGTTATTTCTTTACGCAAAAGCCATGTATGTATGTAAAAATTCTGTACTTTCTTAATTTTTAAACCATTAAATTTAAATAAAGATCTATATATCAAAAACTCCAATAAATTAAATAACATGAAATTAAATAAATATAAGTTTTTAACTTTATGTGTCATCTAAAATTACTAAGTTTTTAACTTTTAAGTAAGTTGTATCAATAATAGCAATTTATATACAAAAAAACAACTTGAAAACTAGATTGTGTTCATATTCAGTCAATTTAACATTAAATTTGTTTTTATTTTGATAATTTTAGGGAACAAAAAACAGAACTCAGCTACAGTTGGAGTTAGAGGTAGGTTACTGTTTATTTCATGCATTAGTGTTTGAAATAAGCAAAAAAACTCCCTTGTACAGGCTTGGTCGGGAAGCGGGTGCGATTGCACTCGATAATTGACCACGGAAATTATATTTACTTGCGAAAAGCCGGCCAGATTTTTCAGGCGTTTTGAGAACATTTCAGTTTATGTATGTTTCCTTGTTTGTCCGCAAAATAATAAGTTCATTTTATTGTAAATTTATAAGATTTTTTTTTACGGACGTACATGGAAACTTGTATAAACTTGAATGTTGTCAAATGTCTTAGTGCGGAAAAATAAATAAAGAATATTTGCGAACACAAAAACCCGCCAAATTTACGAACAACTAATTCTATTAGTTCAATTAATAAATAACTGAAATTACTACGCGACTGTTCTAGAGTATTCTGTTGAATTATTTTTCAAAATCTTTTTTTTGTTTGTTTTTGTTTTTGTTATTTTTTCGTTGAGAATTCTAGCATCAATTGTTTTAAGAATATACTATCAAACGAACAATTATTTTAATACAATGGCTCATTCTTAGAGTCACATCCATAAAGCTATAAATATTTTAAACTAACATTTGTTTACAAAAATAAATGTTTTAAATTTATATTTTTTAACTTATCAACGTTTTGTAAATATATTATAGATTTAATTAGTATAATCTTATTTTTTATATATAAGGGATGTATTTATATGTATGTAATGTATTAGAAATTAGTTTATTAACTTCAATTATTTTTGCTTCAGCCATTCTTACAAACTCGTTATACTTACACTTAAAGTTTTTTTTCTTTCTGTAAATTACTAGTTAAAGATATAAAGCCCACTCACTAAACATCATCAGCGATATTGTTAAGCAGTTCCGCTTCCTCCTTACAAAGTAATTTAACGTTTTTAGTTAATTTCTATCTAGCTAATTAAATTTCCACAGTAACTCAATGATTTAGTTATTTCATTTGTTCATCTTACTTAGAAGAATTGTTTCAAATATGTTAAACTTTTCAAACTACGCGAAGCATAAAACAGGTACTGAAAAAACTTTTTTTATTTATAATTAAATTATGTAGCGTTAGTTTTATTGGTTTAATCTTGTTGGACTTTACAGGGCCGGGGGCTGCATTATTTTGGTGGCCTTTTTTATGTGCGACAGCGTAAAAATGACTTAAAAATACCGATAGGTCCTCTTGACTATTTCTCGGCCCATAACATTGTGTGTCCCGGGACTATAGCTCTTCTACCCCCCACCTCTTATTTCCAGAACTTGAAATAAGACATAAGTATATAAATAAAAATTATATATAATCTTTGATAAATTGAAGAACATTTGTTTCTTTATTAAACAATCATTATTAGTACGTTGTTACTATATACAAAAAATGTTGCTTTTTTTTAAAAAAAAAAATTATAAAAGAGCGACGTTTTAAAAATATTTTGAAACTCTAATCGTATTTATTTTGCTTAAAGTTTTGCGTTAAAAGCTATTTTTCTTTTTTTTAACTGTCTCTCATCGGTCCAGTTTATCTTATTGCGCTTTTTTGCTTGTTTTTGAAATGTTCTCAAAACGCCTAAAAAATCTGGCCGGCTTTTCGCAACTAAATATAATTTCCGTGGTCAAATATCAAGTGCGATCGCACCCGCTTCCCGACCAAGCCTGTTGTAGTTTTTTGTTTGTTTTGTTGTTAAACAAGTAAATTGTTATTAAACTTTTATTGTTTTTTTTTGTTATTAAATTTTTATAAAAGTTCAGCAAAACACAAAAATTTTTCTAATTGTTCCAGCTGCATATTAGTCAAAATGATTTTATTAGTTTTTTTTTTTAAATTAGAATAATTATAATTTAATTATACAAACCATAAAAAATGAATATCAAATATTTATTACTGAAACATTAAAAAAGGCTATATAAAAAGTTTTTAAATTATTTCAAAAAAATAAGGAATTGGCTTTGTCTAAGGTACTTAATCTATTTGTAGTTTTCAGATATTTGAATTTTTAGTTTTGATATCCAAATAATTCAACAATTTTCTAAAATACATATTTTGACATTTTTAACATTTTAAAAATGGGCTGAAAAGATAAACTAAACTAAAAAAAGTAAAATAAAAGTCAAAAAAATAATAACTCTACTCTTTTCTAATGTTATTATTTTACATGAAGTGCATAAGATAAAGTAAAAAAATTCTTCTAATAGTTATTTACCATAAATTAAGTATAATTAAATTAGTAGCTTAGTTTTTTCAGCCTGTTTTATGTTTAAACTTATTTTTTCAAAGTTGCTTACTCTTAACATACTTTAAATTAATTTTTTTAAATTTTAGTTTTTTAAGTTTATATATATAAATATCTTTAATTATGAACTTTTTTTTTCTTGCTTTTTTTAGTGCATTTTTGATTTGTTAAAATTGTTAAAACATGTAAACAGACACGGTCAAATTGTCAAAATAAAATATATTGATGTAGTCATGAATGACATTTTAAATGGTATCTTGTTACAACACAAAATATATCATTAACTATCTGATACTGATGCATGAAAACTAGGAATTACACTTACATTAATTTGTTTTAAAGAATATGAACAAAAAATAAACAGTATTAATACAAGCCATTTAACTCAAAATGATACTCGGTACAAATAATTTACAATATCATAAACATAAAAAAGTTAATAAGTAAAATATTGGATGAAATGACTTATTAATTTAATGTTTAAATATTTTTGCTAATGAACATGTGTTCATCATTATGGCATTTTCAGCATTTTGATTGTGAAGAAAAACTTGCTTATTGTGCAATTTTTTCATTTTATTGTAATCATAGATGTTTTCTTTAGGTTGAAAACATGGGAGCTCATCTTAATGCATACACATCTCGTGAACAAACAGTTTATTATGCCAAGTGTTTCAAAAAAGATTTGCCTAAAGGTTAACTAAAAAATTTTTGTAAAAGTTATTTTTTAAGTTATTTTTAATTAATTTTATATTTTATGAGTTTTAATTTATATTTATAATATTATATTTAAATATGTTTTTTTTATCATATTCAAATTAATTTTCATATTTTTTCTTTTTTATCATTCTCAGAAAGTCTGATTCCATCAACAGCTGTAAAAAGTTTTTTTTTATTCCAATTCACCTCCCCAAGGCCATAAAGGCAACTACGAGGAGGCTAGTTGTGGTTTTAGTTCTAGTTGCAACTCTCTTTTTCAACTCTTTAACTCCGAAACAGGAACCTTGATGAACAAGGTGCTACCAGGGACATGGTGGGGATCAAATATTAAAGTATTAACAGTGTTATGTTGCACATAACACTGTTATGTGCAACATAACACAACAATGCGCACATTTTGATGGTGTGCATGTGATTGTGACATAAGGAGCCCTCTGTTAAGCCTTCAAGTTGATAAGTGGAGCTAAGGCAAAAGCATAGCTTATTGTTATGGGTGTTATGCGCTATGGTTGAGTTCATTTCTCTATTAAACTTTTTCAAATAAAGATGACTATAATACCTAAAAATTATAAGCATAAAAAACCACCATACTACTAAATAAAACATCAACTATACTATTAAAAACTACTATCAGCTATACTACTAAAGAAAACGTACTGAAAACATATTGAAGATCAACTATACTTGAGCATCAACTACACTAAATAATAATAATAATAATAAATATAATTACATCAACTATACAAAACTGTACTATTAAAAACTACTATCAGCTGTACTACTAAAAAAAACATACTATATTGAAGAAAATGTCAGCTACTGCTGCAATTGTCAGTAGTGGTCATAAAATTAAATCGACCACGAATATTATAGTTATTTTTTACAATATTTTTTTTCTATTTTTATACTAAAGCAAATATCAGCTACTGCTGCAATAGTTATAGTCAATCCAATGTAAAAACAATTTTTGAGGGCCAACTTAACTCTCTTGCAAACATAAAATTATAATGCATTCAGCATTCTTCTGATAAATATTTTTAGTAATCTGATAAGATTTCATTAATCCAAATTTGTCTGAAGATGTTTTTAAGATCACTTGTTGGATGGTGGTCTGTAACCTTCTTTTTCATAAAGTTCTAACAGTTCTCAATTATGTTTAAGTCAGGTGAGTTTGAAGGCCAGTCAGCATAAAGTTCAATATCATTGTCCACAAAACATTTTTTTTTGCCAAACACGCTGAGTGACATGAGTCCTGACGACCACTGACGTTCATGTTGATCTGAACCTTACTCTCTAGAAACTTTATATACTCTGCTTCATTAATTTTGACTCTGGTGTCCAATATTTTCACTCCACATCTCTATTCACAGTTATTGTACCTCTTAGCCATTACAGATTGACGGTGTTAATGGTGTATTTCAAAATATTTTGAAATGCAAATATTTTGAAATGCGTCTTAAATAGTTAGTCCTTGAAGCACAAACCTTTTAAAATGTAGTCTCTTTGCTGAACATCACTGTTTCCTTGCCAGTAAACTTGCTACCAATTTGAAGTTGTTTGATAAATGTTTTATAACAGTTCTTGAGCTGATGTCATTTCTTGCTTTTTGTAGGCAATTTGTGATGGATTTTTGTTTTTGTTTCCATCAATAATAGTTTTAGAATAATACTTAATCACTAGCAGTCCGAACCCGTAAAATATGAATCTTGATAAGTCAGACCACACTGATCATTTCTATACTTATAAACTACTTCAATATTTTTTTTTGGATTAGTACCCATGTAAATAATATTCAAAATACCCGCTTGAAATGTGTTGATTAATTACAATCAGTATAAAAAACGTGAAAATAGACCTAAAAATATGTGGAATAAAGGACTTAACATGACATGTACAAATACGGATCATGGTAAGTCTATTCCACATTGATCATTTCTATTCTTATTCTTTATAAAGTCGATTTATTTCAATAATTTTTAGTTAATGTTAGATAAAAATCTTTAAAATCTTTGTTTTGATTAAAACTTCTTTAAACTATTAATGTTCAATTAATAGTTCAATTATATCTATAGAACTTTAAAAATATTTTGTGTTTTAGAAAATTGGAAAAGATTTTAAAAAATAAAATAAAGTATGCAAGCAATTTGAGCTATTTTTGATATTTTAAAAAATATAAATACTTAAATTAGGGTAGACCGGGGGGATTTCGCCACGAGGGCAATTTTATCGGTTTTCATATTTCAAGAAAAAGATGTTATTTTGGCATAACACCATATTAAGATGATGTAAAATATTTATTATTTTAAAATTATAACTTTATAACTATTGATTGACCATAGCTGCCATCTAATTTGGTTGTTGTAAATTTTAAATAAGATTTGCTGTTTAATATTATTAATTGATATTATTGTGTCACTCTTGCTCCAAGTGGCATTATTATTAATTTTGTGAAGTTGATTGAAAGTACATTTGAGAATAACTGCTGAGGTGAGAGCTTCATAAATTTGTTAAAACTATTCAACTGACGTTCGTGATATATATTTTAAATATGTTTTTATCCAAGTAGAATATTGTGGGGTGATTTCTCCACAGAATGATAAAATAGTCCCACAGTTTTAAAAAATATAATGTACAATATTTTTGCTTTCTAAACAATATTTAATATAATTATTTATAATTATATAAACAATTTTATAAAATCATTGTATATATCAGGAATTATAGTATAATCTAAAACTCGTAGTATATTACCTATGTTTCAGATGGTACGCAAGTATCTCCCAAAGAAAAAGAAACCCTATAGTAATACCAACTATTAGAGTAATATCAGGAATTATAGTATTAAAAAATTATTAGAAGTATTTTAAAGATATAATAAATCAATAGTTTTTAGATATACATTTAAAGCTAAAGTACTTTATAATTTAACTTAAAAATAGCTTTCTAAAATTCTTCTTAAATTTTGTATTCGAAAATGTCATTTGTTCCAATTAAATGCATTTCTTTTTTTCGCATTTCTTATTAAATGCTCACTATCACTGATTGTTTATAGCCACTATATCAATTAGCATGTTTAAAATACACAGTTATAAAATGCAAGTATCAATATTTAAAAAGATAGTTGTTATGTCAATCGGTAATAATTATCTTGTTGCATTTTTACACCAAGTGCCAAAATCTAAAACTTGATGTATATTACCTATGTTTCAGATGGTATGTAAGTATCTCTCAAAGAAAAATAAATCCTATAGTAATACCAACCTCCAATTAGCTATTCAAGCTGTTAAAGACGGCAGTAAAACATTTGGAGTACCAAGATTAACGCTGAAAGATAAGGTAAATGAACGTCGACAATCAAGCTTTGTGGAAAGAAAAATAGTGTTGACAAAGCAACAGAAACAAGCACTAGTAACCAGGCTTTTTTACATGGCAAATCGTGGTTTTCCATTGACAACTGGTTGAGGTATAATGCTAAATATAATGTTAAAAAACTAAATTGTTGTTAAATACTTCAAAAAGATTTGCCCATTATATGCCATAAATCTCTCTTAGATTACTCATATTAAAGTAGAAAATCTCTGGATGTATTTTCCAATCCAAGTGGCTCAAAGAAGAAGAAGTTCTCCATTAAACAAAAAAAAGCAAGTGGCTAAAGAAAGAAAAGAATTATTTGCCTAATCAAATAAAAGCATATGCCTCAAAGAAAAGGAAATCCCATAGTTTAAAATCATTATTAAATCAAATGCTACCGAGTACATCAAAAGCTTATGACAGAAAAGCGAAAAACAACTCACTGCTTCATCAAAAAACAACTCACTGCTTCATCAAAAAACAACTCACTGATTCGTCAGAGGACTGGCTCGAATGCTTTTCTTGTCATATATGGGCATGTGAAGCCGGCTTCACATGCCCATATATAACTCTTTTTACATTGGCGAAATAGCCCCATATACAAATCAGTGTTGATGAGTATAAATATATAAATTTTTTTGGTATACAAAAAAAGTGTATTAGGTTGAACAGACAACATTAAAGCAGCAAAAGTGGTAAAATTGCCCTAGTCTACCCTACAAAAAAAAAGTTTTTTTACAAATGATATTTAATAGGAAAAAATAAGAATCTAAATACTTTACAAAATATCAAGTAAATAATCTTTTCAAGTATTTACATAATTATTTTTTTTTATTTAGCTGTAAATATTTTATCTGATATTATTCAAAATCCTGTGCTTGACGAAGGAGCTATTGAAAGAGAAAGAGGGGTTATCTTAAGGGAAATGCAGGTTTGTTTTTGCAGTTAATAGTAAAAAAATGAAAACTAATTTTTTCATAATTTACTATATACATTTAATTCAAAAATTAATTAAGTTACTATTTATGAGCTTGATACTCAATAGTTTTTATACAGGAGGTTGATTCTCAATAGTTTTTTATACAGTTTTTTATAAAGGAGGTTCATACTCAATACTTTTTATACAGGAGGTTGGTTCTCCATACTTTTTTTACAGGAGGTTGATACTCTATACTTTTTATATAGGAGGTTGATACTCTATACTTTTTATGCAGGAGGTTGATACTCAATTAGAAGAGGTTGTTTTTGATCATCTTCATGCAACTGCTTATCAAGGAACACCGCTAGGAATGACTATTCTTGGGCCATCAAAGAATGTCAAGTAAAGTTTAAAATTGCTATTGTATTTTAAAGTATTAGTATTCCAAAACAATTAAATTTTTAATGTTTTATAGAAAAGACAAAAAAAAAAAAATTTTAATTAATTTTTGAATTACTTATAAAGTTTGTCATTAAACTTTAGGTCTATTTCAAAAAAAGATCTTCAGAACTACATCAATACACATTATCGTGCTCCAAGAATGGTCTTAGCTGCTGCAGGAGGTGTTAATCATGATGAACTTGTTAAACTTGCTGAGTTAAACTTTAGTGGGCTCCAGTCTAAAGTAGATGATAAATCTGTTTTAAAACCAGTTCGCTATACTGGCTCAGAAGTAATTAATTTTTTTTTTTTTTTTTTGTAATGATAATTTTTTATAGTTATTTATAGTTATCTTCTAAAATTTTGTTTAATATTATGTTTAGTAACAATGAACCTAAATATGATTATTTAACCAAATATCAATTTTTTAAAGCAAAAGTTTTTACTTGATAATTTTACTCGTAATTTACTTTTTACTTGAAAGGTTCGTGTTCGTGATGATGATATGCCACTTGCTCATATTGCTATGGCAGTGGAAGGTTGTGGTTGGGCTAATCCTGATTATTTTACTTTAATGGTAGCTAATATGATAGTTGGGAGCTGGGACCGTTCACTTGGTGGATCAAGAAATGTAGCTGGTCAACTAGCTGCAGATGTTTCAAAACATAGCCTTGCAAACAGCTACATGTCTTTCAATACTTGTTATACAGATACTGGTCTTTGGGGGGCTTATATGGTTTGCGATAAAATGAAAATTGATGATTTAGTTTATGTTATACAAAGGGAATGGTAAGTAATAATTTTTTATTTCTCTGAATAAAAAGTGCATTTGAATTTGTTTGCTTCTTAAAGTCAACCTCACTATTTGCCTCATTTTCCTGGTATGTGCTTAACTTAATAGCTTACACTTAGACATTTAGGGGATCTGGTAGGTTTGAATCTGCTCTCTCTTTTTTGCCAAAAGTTTGAGGTTTTTAAGTGCATATACCCGGTGTGAAATGAGCTAGCGACTAGTAAGCAACTAGCTAGCTTCATAGCGATTTTCAAGCGATTTTTTTTTCTTATTTTATTTTTTGCAAATGTCTTTAACATCTTTAAAAATTCGATTTTTAGTGTTGAGTCTATTATAATTATGAAAATAATTGAACTTTAAACATTGCGATTTTGTAGCAATGTGTTGCTAGCTACATATCATAGCTTTGTAGCTAGCTACAAAATATCTACAAATCTATAGCTGGTTGATAGCTACATATCAAAATTTTTTAGACAACGATTTTATTACGATATGACGCTAGATACAATAGCCAGTGGATCTTCAGCTTATAAAGCTAGCTGTCTTCTTAGCCAAATCGCTGTCTTTACCTTTAAAAATATCGATAGCTTTTCGCAAACTTAAAAAAGCTAGCGATCCTCGTGGCCAAATCGCTATCTTTATCGTAACGATTAAAGCTAGCTATTCGCTAGCCGATTTCCTACCGGGTATTTTGTCAACACAACCTTCAAATTTGATGTAATTCAATTTTAAAAAGTTGTACCTAAATTTTTAATACAGCAAGAAGAAAAAAAGGAATTTAATAATTTTTTTTATATATGATATCTGATCTGTATAGCACTAAGAAAAAATTTATTTAAAGGATGCGCTTGTGTACAAGTGTAACAGATAGTGAAGTTAATCGTGCAAAGAATGTCTTGAAAACAAATTTCTTACTTCAATTTGACGGTATTATACTTTGTAATAATTTTTTTTATAGAATGAAATTAAAAGTTTTATATATAAATAGTAATTGATCAAGTAAAATTTGATAAAAATATTTTTTTATTTTCGAAACAACTTGTTTTTATCATAAACTAGTTTATAATTGATATTTCATAAGATTCCTAGGGAAAAAAATAATTTTATAGTTTGAATTCTAATATTTTATGTTTGCAAAGCTCTTATGCTTCTTGTTTTACACTCAGTTCTCCTGTTTATAAACTGATTTAAATTTTTCTGTTATTAAAGTTGAACAGTGTAAAGAGTATTAAAACTGTTGGAACTAAGTTTAGTTTTTACCAGTGCATAATTGTCTCCAAATTTTATTATAAGTTGTAGATAAAAATATATATGAATTAGTAGAAAATCACTTTTCAAGTTTTTTAGATTTTACATTGTGTTTCATTTATAAAGATTCATCAGAAATTTTTCATCTGTAAAAACTTACCAGAAATCATCATTTGATGAGTCTTTATAGACGAAACAGTGTAAAATAAAAAAATTTTGAAAAGTGATTTTTTTACTGATTTATTATTGCTCTGTTCTTTTAAGAACATTGAACACTCTATTTTGTAGAATACATTTAAAATTATTTTTTGTGTGTATGTATGTATATATATATATACATATATATGTGTGTGTATATATACAAAAAGCTAATCTAGGAAAAAAATTTGGGCGGCGGTACCCCCACACCGGCATTGGCCGTAAAATATACAATGTTTGCCGAAAAAACGTAATAAAAAAACGACATTTTTAAAAAAAAAAAAAAAAAAAACGGTCTAGAATAGCCTCTGATATATATGTGTATATGTACATGTGTATGTATGTTTATAAGAAGACCTAAATTTAATAAAAGTTATTTTATGCTCTTAAATGTTCTAAGTATTAAGTCTTTATTTCGCTATTTTTAAATATATTCAAAAAGGAAGACAACGATAAAAACAACTTCATTTATTATTTTATTTAATTTTGAACTTAATTTTAATTTAATTTACAGTTTATAGTTTCTAATTAAATAACTTTTAATTTCTTTTTTAAATAAAAATTTTAGGTTCTACTCCAGTATGCGAGGATATTGGAAGGTAAGATGTTAATATTTCAGAATATACGTTAACATGCTCTCTCCTTTTTGCTCTAAATTTCTTTTTATAAATATTTAAATATTTTATTTGATTATGAAAATTAACATGAAAAAGTTACATTACAGGCAAATGCTGACATATGGTCGTCGAATTCCTCTCCCTGAACTCAATTACAGAATAAATGTAATTTTTAATCTCTATTTTGTAATATACAGTACAAATAATAAATACATATATACATACATACATACATACATACATACATACATACATACATACATACATACATACATACGCACATACGCACATAATTTGTGTAATAATAATAGTAATAAATAAAAATGTTTGAAGAATTAAAATTGTCTTCAGATAATTGACGCTAAAATGGTTAAAGATATTTGTTCAAAATACATTTACGATAAATGTCCCGTCGTAGCTGGTGTTGGTAAGTATTTCAAATTAATTATCAAGGCGTAGCAGGTGTAAGTAATTTTTCCTTTAAACTTTAAAAAAAGTAAGATTTAAGTATGTGACCGGTGTAGACAAGGCTTTAACTTTACAAACATTTATGCTTGATAATAATTCACTTAGACAGAAAATCGCTTTCTTATTTTACACTAAAAATGTTTTAATTTAGGTCCTGTAGAACAACTTCCTGACTACAACAGAGTTCGTGGAAACATGTACTGGATAAGATTTTAATATTTGTACTAAAAAAATATTTTAAATTTAAAAATATCGTTTTTTCAATTTCAATTTTTTATTATGAATTGCTTTGTTAATGATGTAAAAATTTTTGCGACATGCTTTAGTAGGGAAGAGTTGTACTGAATTAACTACCAAATTAGACTTTTTATAAATACGAATAATATCCATATTTTAAATAACTATGGCAGATTATTTCAAAAAACGATATTGATATTATGTACTTAATATCAATATCGTCTTAGTCTAAGTACTTTGTTACTTGGAAGGTTTAAGGTGGTAGTCTACCTGAAAAATATAGATTTTTGACCAAATTTGAAAATGTTTTTATGTAGAATTTCATCATCCTGCTGATATATAAATGTTTCAGCATTCATTAAACTAAAACTGTTAAATTTTTGTAAAGCTTCTTTTATATACATAAAATGTAAATTTGTGATGTTTTTGGTCGTGCTTTAAAGTCACATTTTCTTTTGGTAGGGTTCTTAACAAACTTTATATTTTGGTTGTCCTACAATATTTTTTATTCTGTTATCTCTTAATTTCGACCAAACAAGTAGTACAAGTCTAAAATTTAAGTAAATATCTTCTGGAAAAAGCAATACACAAGATTTTTTAAGAAAAAGAAAATCATCTGGAAATAAATATTTAAGAACAAATCTATATATTCAAATTCTTCAGAAAAAGTTTAATCTAGCATAAATGCAAAAAAGTAATGTATTTGCACTTTTGTTGATATGTACTGCGTGTGGCCTACTTAAAATAAACGGCCTAATTTGTTGCATTTCCGTAAAAAATTAGGAGGCCAGTTTTTCACGGCTAATTTATAAAAGTGTTAAAGTTTTTGTTGTGGTTATGAATGGTTTTTGTACTAAAAGTGTTTTGTTCTTATTAAAATGGTTAAATAGTATTTAAATTTTCTTCGAGTAATTAAGTTATATTTTTCCCCTGCTTTAATTTATTCCAATAACACAAAATACTGAAATAGGCTTTCAGATAACTATATTAATATATATCAACACGTTACTAAATATAACCTTACATGTTGCTTAAACTATCCACAACATTTCATAGGAAATAGTTTTAAAGGTTTGTAATTTTTAATTATTATAATTGCAATTATTAAGGATAAAAAAAAAAGATTTTTATTGTTAATATTTACACTGCAAAACAATGTTTTGCAATGTAAATGCTCTATCATAATGCATGTTTCAAACATGCAGCAATTAAAATGCTACAAACCTGGCCATTTAATTGCATTAAGCCATAAAATATCAGGCATACCAACTAATTTTAGTCAATAGCTGCTAATAAATTTCTAAAAATTTTCATTGTTTTATAAAGGATATTTCTTTACCTGGAATGGTTTTGAAGTGGTGAAAATTACAAATTAACAAATAAAAACAATATTTTATATCCTAAACAGTTTGGATTTCGGAGAAATCATTGCACTGAGCATGCTGTGATGGATTTGGCTAGCAATATTTTGAAAGGATTTGATGGTAATAATTATACACTTAGAGTTTTTGTTGATTTATCGATGGCGTTCGACACTGTCGACCACGAAATCCTTCTCTATAAATTAAAAAATTATGGAATTCAAAATACTAATATAAAATGGATCGAGTCTTATCTACAAAATCGTAAACAATGTGTGACGTATGATTTAACTTGTACGCAATTAGAAGTTATTAGTTGCGGTGTCTCTCGGGGCTCATTACTTGGCCCTCTGCTGTTTCTCTTATATATCAATGACATCCACTTATCTTCTAAATTCCTTAATTTTGTTCTTTTTGCTGATGATACTAATCTTTTTTTTTCGGGGTCTAATTTAAAATTTGTTTTTTCTACTGTAAACACAGAGCTAATAAATCTCAATGAATGGTTTAAAGCCAATAAACTGTCCGTAAACATTGATAAAACTTAATACATTCTGTTCACGAAACCTTCGAAAACTGATAACATACCCCTAAAACTTCCTGATTTATTTATAAACAACATTAAAGTAAGAAGAGTTCATTCAATGAAAATCCTAGGTATAATATTTGATGATCATTTAAACTGGAAAAACCAAATCCAATTAGTTGAAAACAGCATTTCAAAAGCTTTTGGGATCCTTTTCAAAACGAAGCACCTTTTGAATATAATGTGCTTAAAAAGCTTGTATTTTTCATTTATTCATAATCACATTAGTTATTGCAATATTGTGTGGGCAAGTAATTATTCATCTTCTTTAAAAAAAATTAATACCAAACAAAAGCAAGCGAGCCGGTTAATTTTGAATGCAGATATGCATGCGCCGAGCTTTTACTTAAAAAAATTAATGTTTTAAATATTTATAAACTAAACATCTATCAAAATCTGTTATTTATGTTTAAAATTCATAACAACATGCTTCCAACATATTTTCAACCGCATTTTACCTTAATTAATCATAAATACTCTACAAGACATTCCATTGGCAACTTTCTCATCCCTACAACATCCCTTAGAAAAACAGACTTTTTTTTATTATTATATATATATTTCGTCAATAAACAATCATTTTACAATGTTTTTTGTAAAAATTAAATATTTATATTCTGACAGGAGCAAGCAGAAGACAATGTGTCTTATCACCCTGCTCCTAAGTTCGTGAAAATATCAATAAAGTTTTACGTATTAACTTCTTAAAATATACGTTGTATAAGTTTTATAAATATTGCAAGTTTTGTACATAATACAACACATCACAGTTCGCAAAATATACATAGGCTCCAAGCATATATACGTGTTAACAAATCAATATATAAATGTTTTTTAAAAATACAAAAGAATGTTTTTATTATTTAAATCTAATAAGTATAGTTTAACGGCTCTTTTAAATAGTTTAATTGAAGTCATGTTTTTCATGTCTCTATTCAGGAAATAGTTCCACAAAGGTGGTCCTCGACATGTTATTGAGAAGTCTGTTTTCGTAAGGGATGTTGTAGGTATGAGAAAATTGCTAATGGAATATCTTGTAAAGTATTTGTGATTAATTAAGGTGAAATGAGGCTGAAAATATGTTGGAAGCATGTTGTTATAAATTTTAAACATAAATAACAGATTTTGATAGATGTTTAGTTTATAAATATTTAAAACATTAATTTTTTTAAGTAAAGGCTCGGCGCATGCATATCTACCTGCATTCAAAATTAACCGGCTCGCTTGTTTTTGTTTGGTATTAATTTTTTTTAAAGAGGATGAATAATTACTTGCCCACGCTATATTCCAATAACAAATGTGACTATGAATAAATGAAAAATACAAGCTTTTTAAGCACATTATATTCAAAAAGTGCTTCGTTTTGAAAAGGATCCCAAGAGCTTTTGAAACGTTGTTTTCCACAAATTGGATATGATTTTTCCAGTTTAAATGATCGTCAAATATTATACCTAGGATTTTCATTGAATGAACTCTTTTTACTTTAATGTTGTTTATAAATAAATCAGGAAGTTTCAGGGGTATGTTATCAGTTTTCGAAGGTTTTGTGAACAGAATGTATTTAGTTTTATCAATGTTTACAATGATTAATTAGCTCTGTGTTTACAGTAGAAAAAACAAATTTTAAATTAGACCCCGAAAAGAAAATATTAGTATCATCAGCAAAAAGAACAAAATTAAGGAATTTAGAGGATAAGTGGATGTCATTAATATATAAGAGAAACAACAGAGGACCAAGTATTGAGCCCTGACGGACACCACAACTAATAACTTCTAACTGCGTATAAGTTAAATCATACGTCACACATTGTTTACGATTTTGTAAATAAGACTCGAGCCATTTTATATTAGTATTTTGAATTCCATAATTTTTTAATTTATAGAGAAGGATTTCGTGGTCGACAGTGTCGAACGCCTTCGACAAATCAACAAAAACTCCAAGTGTATAATTATTACCATCAAATCCTTTCAAAATATTGCTAGCCAAATCCATCACAGCATGCTCAGTGCAATGATTTCTCCGAAATCCAAACTGTTTAGGATATAAAATATTGTTTTTATCGATGAAGTTATATATTCTATTATACATTATACGTTCAAGTACCTTTGAAAAACAGGAAAAATTGAGATGGGTCTGTAGTTTGATTCTAAAGAATCGTCACCGTTTTTATAAATTGGAATTATTTTAGCAAGTTTTAATTGATCAGGAAAGTCCCCGTTTTTTAATGAAAGTTTAAAAATAATGAAAAGAGGCAATTCGATAATATCAAGGACACTTTTCAAAACATTTGTATTAATTTCATCAAGACCTGCACTTTTATTTTTCTGAAGCATGTCAAAAGCTGAACGAAATTCTTCAATGGGAAGTTCCGAATTGTCCATAATAAAATCTGATTTTTTCAAAAAAGACTGGAATGTTTTGCTACTTGGAGAGATTTCTTTGGCTAAGTTTTTCCCAACATTTATAAAAAAATTATTCAGTCTCTCAGCAATTGTTTTTTTATTAAAAATTTCACCTTTATCAGTTTTCAGTCGATTAGGGAAGTTGCTAGATGTAATTTTTTTTTTCCCTGTTATTTCTTTTATTATAGTCCAAGTTTTTTTAGCGTTTCCAAATGATTTCTGAAGTAGTCCAGAATAGAAGTTTTTTTTTGATTGCTTTTTTATTTTTTCAAAATAGTTTTTGTATTTTTTATATTTAGTTTCGTTTTCATAGTTTTTGTTTTTTAAATATTTTTCGTAAAGCTTTTTTTTTTTTTTTTTGATGATTTTAAAAGACCTTTAGTTATCCACGGGCTATGCACACTTTTGGATTTTATAGTTTTCTGAACTTTAGGAAAAGCCTTTTCATATTGCCTTGTAAAGACGCGGATAAAGAAATCGTATGCGCTACATGTGTCATTGCAATCATTCAATAACTCCCAATTGATTTCACGCAAAAGCTGTCTAAAAATCGCAATCGATCCTTTGTTTACATGCCTTATGTATACTGTTATGGGTTTTTTATTTATACAGCATTTAGTATTTGTAGTTAAAAAAACAGGAAAATGGTCACTGATATCCGTTTTTATTATACCACTGTTGAT